CGGGTGTTCGGTTTGAGCGAACCGAAATGGGCGCTGGTCTCGGCGTACTGCAAAAAGCACGGCGTGAACCGGGAGCCGGTGCAGTGCCGGAAGCGGTGGAGCAACCTCGCCGGCGATTACAAGAAGATCAAGGAGTGGGAGTCGCAGGTCAGGGACGAAGGGGAGTCGTTTTGGCTCATGAGGAATGATTTGAGGAGGGAGAGGAAATTGCCCGGTTATTTTGACAGGGAAGTGTATAATATTCTCGATTCTCCGTCCACGGCGGCTGCTGCGACTGTGGAGACTCCTACGGCCGCGGTGGAGGAGGAAGTGCACCTGTATGATAGTAATCGGAGAGTTGGGAGTGATGTGGGTTGTTCTCTGATTGTGAGAAGGAGGAGGTTTGCTTTCGGCCCCCTTGCCAAGGATGTTCCTGCACCCCGTTCCAATCTCAGGGTTCGTTTTTGGAATCAATTCGGACATGCCCTTTTGATTCTGTGAACTATTTTCTATTATAGTAAGGGTTCTTTTTTTTTTCCCTTTTCCTCCACTTTTGCTATTGTTGATTTGTTGAGAATGATTGCATTACAGAAAAGTTACGGTGAAATTTATGGTAAAAAATTGCCTTATGATAGAGAAAATCCATTGGTGAGTAAGTGTGTATTTTGAATTTCAGTTTTTCAGCTGAATTTGAATCAATCCAACACTCATAATGCTCCTCTGTTTATGCATTGGATAGTACCATATCTACGAACAATGCTGTTCTAATGGATTTCCAGACATACTCAGTGACTTAGTGCGTATTTGTAAAACCGATGTCTCACATTTCGATGATGCAGTTGAACAAAAGTTTAAACGTCACTGAAAGTACCAAAGGATGAAGAAAATTGATAAAAACTTAAAATTCTTAAGAAGGATTTATTGGGTATTTGGATTTATCATTTATAATTACGTTGAAATACAACTAAGATGGTTTTAGTTAAATATTCATGTATTTGGTTCCATGTTAAGAAATTGAATATGAATCTGTAGTTGATTTTAGGTTGAAATAACTTTTTTGCTGGTTCATACAAATTCCTTACTATGATTTTTTATCATCTGGATCTAGAATAAAAACATAGTACTTCAGTTTAGTTTAAAATCAATTTTAGCTAATTGTGTGCTTGGTTGCGAGTGACTTTCTCCAGCAAAAAATATTTTTTTTTTGTGGTGATTTCGTGTCGATTTTTTCTTGAATATTGTTTTTTCTATGGCCGATCCAAACAGACAATTAATCTTGCGAAATCAATTTTGAGTTACTCATATATACAGTGTGTGCTTTGAGATACTCATCTATAGAGTGTGTTTGGTTTGGTTTTTGCAAGACACTGAATGTTTTTCACTTGTTCCGAAGCTGAAAATAGAGAAGCAAGTATGTTGTTGGATTGGAAAAAAGTGGCTTAGGTTAAACCCCACATTTCTTCTAACACTCACACACAGTGAGTTGAAAGTTAAGTATATTCACTAATATGTAATTTATGCGACAGATGCAACTCAGTGAAAAAAGTTTTTGCTGATATCATTGTTGTTGGTAATGTCTAGCATTTATTGGTATATGCTAATGTTGTTGGGTTGTCTTTTGTGAAGTTGGAAAGTGTCTAGACATGCTACTGGCTTTCATGGTTTTGGGAACACTTTTCTTTTGTTATGAAAGACTAAATTTTAGTGGGCTTTTTCTTTTCGGAATTTTTTTTTCGATTCTAGCAATGATGTTGTAAAGTTGGAACTTTGGAGTCAAGGGTACTGGGATTCCCATGTGGCATTCTTGAACTATATATATATATATATATATATATATTTCCTTGATTTTTCTCTTCCTTCTGATTTGCAGAGAAGCAGTTTCAACCACTCCTTCAACTATGTGAACGGGAAGGCAATGCTGAAGGTAACAGAGTTTTTTACTCTTTTATTCTTAATGCATTTGAATATTTAACGATGGATTAAAAATCATGATTATTGTTTTAAGATTGGAATAATACGATTAGCAGTTGTATTTGCACTGGCACCATTCTCATTGAAAGTTGAAACCTTATATTTTTCCGAAATGGATTCTTGTTGTGTTCTGTAGACAGCCTTGATATTTTGGCATAAAAGCTTAGGCCCAGGGTCTGCTGATGTGACCAACATGATGTAGTAGGCCCTAAACCTAGTGTCTTTGTTTGTTAAAGGGCATCCAATGTCAATGACAGGATAGCCAAACAAAAACGTGGAAGCTACTTCGGTGTCCTTTCCATGTCTTCAAAATATCATGAATTCAGTGCTTATACAAAGCAAGCTAAAAACTCGTTAGTGACAGCTTGCTACCTTGTCCGCTGTGTTTGTTTCCCATTCTTTCTGTTGCTGCTGCATTCTAATTAATTGGTTACCTATTTTGTGCCATAAATTTTTGCTATTGCATTTAGAATTTCAATAATGCCAGGTCCCTTATTTTTCATTCATTTGTTATCCATACTGGTACCATGTTGCTTTTACTGGAATCTAAATCCGATTCCTGCATATCAAATTTGTCTACTTTAGTACAAACAGAATGATGGCTTATCTGAAGATGAAAATGGTACTAGGCTTGCAGTTAGCCCACCTTTTTACTTTTGGGATTAAGAATTGATAGGATTGGAGCATTCAATGTATGATTGGTTACTTAATAATATATTGGATGCTAGGTATAAAACATATATCTCTACAAAGTGAATTTGATTAGGATTAAATACATTGAATTGGATGATGTTTACTCGTATAATTGCCAGAGTAATGGTGCTTACTCATGCTTAACGTTAGCACTTTCCTGGGAAGTCATTGTATTGCACTTTATATCTCATTGTCACTTTTCTGTTAACATTCCACATTCTAAACCTACCCTAATAAATGAAAAACTATTTTCCGCAATTCATGTCTGAAAAGAAAGTTCTTCTCTTTTAATAAATGCCAAGCTATGTTATAGGCACAAGCTTTCATTATGCTATCACCTAAACTTTTGAGCTTTAGCTGCTAGGCCGTAGCTTACTTAAATAGGTATAGGTATAAGACCAAAGCTTCTATTATGACAGTCACAGTATCCAGTACTTAACTGATGACATTATTGTAACTTTAATGTCTTTACATTCCTTAATTCTACAGGTACTACCAATGAGAAACGGGCAACCCCAAATCCAGAAATGGGTTCTACATCTCAAGGAGGACGGAAGAGGAAGCGATTTTCAACCGATGCAGAAGAGGAAAGTTTGCAAAGTCAATTAATTGATGTCTTAGAAAAGAATGGCAAAATGCTTCGTGATCATCTTGAAGCTCAGAACACCAATTTCCAATTGGACCGCCAGCAGCAGAAAGACACTGCAACTAACATAGTTGCCGTACTTGATAAGCTGGCAGATGCTCTAGGGAGAATTGCTGATAAATTGTAGAGCAAGGAGGATCAGAATAGAATAGTGTACAGAACAATTGGAGTCAACAATAGTGGTTCCCATAATTTATCTCAGGGTAGTTTGTAGAAGATGAATGTCACACACATTACTTACCTTTTTTTTTTCATTATCTCCAGTCACTGCATAATGTCACTTTTTTTTGTTGTTTATTACTGTTACTACAGCATTTTATACACAAATTTGGAGGTTACTACATTTATTTATTCTCTTTTTTCGGTGAGGTTTATATAATGAATATTTCCGGGTCAATAATAACGGTTGTACAGATGATATTACTATTACTAATTTAAGGTACATTTTTATTAGTGGTATCCCTTTGCGTGCTCTTGCAATGTTTTTCTTCTCTTGTATAATTCATCTTTCCACCAATCTTTGCTTATTTTAGGTTGATTTAACCATTAACCATACTATTGGGAAAAAGGAGTCAGTTCATCGAATCACTCCATGTTACTTTTCCTGTGCTCTTAAAGGATAATAGCACCAAAAGAAAGAAGTGGAACAGAACCAGTTAACCTTGGTTAAATTGTTATGTTTTCCTATTTATCTTTGGGTTACATGTTCTGTCTAGATTCATGGATTTAACTTAGTTGACATCGATTTTTTTTTCTTTTAATTAAAATGGATTTGCCTTTAGCATATCAGAACCTGATAAAAACAAATCTGTCTCCTGTGCATATTTATTATTGATTGAGGTGGGTTTTCATTACTTGTCTCTCGATGCTTGCATTTCTTAAAAAAATAGGTTTCTAGAGTCAGCTGCTATATTGTTATTCAAGTTGATCCTTAAATTAGCATTCCGGAGCTACAAAATCTTCTTCGTTCGCAATCATCCAATGTTTTTGCTACCTTCTCACTTTTCTACGTTCACCACATCAACATCGATTTGAGAGGACCTTCAGAACCACTCAATCAACAAATTTATTATTGTTTTTCATGCACAGGCATGGAATAAAATTTGATTTATGAATTGAAGCATCATAACTAGGTGTTTTCTTTTTCACAAAAATAGGAACCCATGCACTCTCTAATTTTTGTGTTTTCTGTGAAAAAAAAAGTTCAAAATCAATAAAATATGTGGTAAATATTGTCCTTTCTTCACTCTTCGTGTCACAGGGTCGTTAGTTCAACCTACTAAATTTCTTACACGGCTTGTGCTTAGTGAAAAATACTTGGATTCTGAATAATTTGCATGGTGTGATAGTGTGATAATGAGTTCTTAAAAATAACATTTTATTGTCTGTTCTGTTCAAGCATTGAATCCAAAAAATTCTATAAATATCTGTATGTCACTGCAAAACATGAATTTCTTGCATATTGAATTCTGAACTACTACTTTAAGATTAAAGTGATTTTAGTCTCTTACTCTTATTTGACAAAATTCATGTAGCTTTGCAATGGTTAAATGTTTCGCTGTAGGAAAAATGTCATAATAATAAATATTTTTTTATCAAGTGATCAATTGAGATATATATTATGCACACAATAGTTACATGTGACAACGTGAAACTTATATGCTGACAACTTTATACTAGGTTTACATATGTAGTTATTGTCTTCTTACTAAGTTGTTACCTGAAATATAATTTTGAAACACTATAGTTTCGCTACAGTAAAAAATGTAGTCTCAACAAGTATCACATTAACATAATAAGAATTATACCATAACTCTGCCTATAAAATAAATATTCACTTATTCTTGAAAGACAAAGAAAACAATTGCGTAATAGTTATATTTGTATAAAAATTACATATTTAGATGATTATTTAATGAAAAATCACTTATTGTTATATCATTTTCGTTATAACGAAACCTTTAGCCCAAAAAAAACCCTTGTAGAGTTAGTCAAATGGAAGTAAGTACCTACATTGTTAAAATATCATTACTTCCACTTTAATCATACTCAACATATAAATAGTTAGGTTTTGCACTTTTAAGCACAAAGTTACCCCTAGTAACATCTAAGAAACAACGTGCAACATGTCAACGACATTTATTAGATTTTTTAAAGATTAATGCAGTGGAAACTATGGAAATATTTATTTATTTATTAAAGAGAAAATGTGGAGATGTTATTAACATGAAGTAATTGATCAAGGTAAGAGAGATCTAATATGTCTATGAAAACAATCTTGATGAAGAATTTAAATTTTTTTAAAAGACTAAATTAGATTGCTATTAAAAAAATTGAGCTAGAAAAAATTTAATGAATATATTTGTTATTTTTATAAAATAGTTAAATTAAACAGGTTAATACACGTAATAAAAGACAAAAGAAGGGTGTAATTTAATCTCAATTGCTTCAAAAATGTGCAAAACTGACTTTTGGAGATAGATTATCAGTAAATAGTACAAACATACATGTTAATTATGTTTGGGAGAAAGAACAATTGAAAGCCAAGAAATAAAGTCAATTTATCATGTTAAAAATAGCTTATGCAAAAATAACACTATATTTTTAGGCAACTGGCTGCATAGTTTTTTTAGTTAATTTTGGATCATTTAGTTTATCGATAAACTAATTTATTAAAATAAAAAATAAATGTACACCAATTAAAATAAATAATGTAATGTTGAAGCAAGAATGAAATTTACCATAACAGATATTTTATTTTATAACAAATAGTAAGAGGAAAATATATTCTATGAAACAATTGGTAATAAAAAATGATAACTTATAAATGTAATCTTATACAAATAATTGAAATTAGTCATGTAATAATGTATTCGCATGCAATTTAACAGGTGTCAGTGGTCTAGCCTACATAAAATAACATAAAATAGGAATAAGCAAAACAAATTAAAGAAAAAAAGAACATTAAAAAAAAGTAAAAACAGAAAAGAAGATTATTGTTGATAGGTGTCAGTTTTCTAGCATAGCCAAAATGGGAATAAACAGAAAAAAGTCAGAAAATAGAAAATAAAATAAAAAAAAGAAAAGAAAAAGAAGATAGATTATTATTGATGAGCATGCGAGGAAGATGTATTGGGAGGAGAAAAAGTGGGGCCCACCTACGGCCCAAGAAATGGAGGGAAACTAGGTTTTGGCCCACAAACCATTCCTTCCTCACAGTTCACAGACAAACAATTATTCAAGCCACGCTCGCTGTTGCGCGTGCAGCAACTCTCCCATCAAACAAGGCCTTGTTTGTTGCTGGTTTTGGTAATGTGTGAGTGAGTGACGGAAGAAGGTTTAGATTACAATAATAACGCCGTTCTCTTCTATTGTACGACAGCGTACAACCTTGTTTTTTCTTTACACCAAACTTATATTTCAATTATCAGATTTAACTCTTAGTAAAAAATGTTGAACCATTTCAGTTCATTATTGTGTAGCAAGAAAATGTGTATATAAATAAATCCAATAGCTAGGTTATAAAAATGGATGTAATGTTTTTTCTATTAACCGAAAATAATGATTTATTATATATGTAGCCTATGTCGTATGATTAGTTACATGTAGCAAGAATAAATATTAGCTGCTATGGTCGATTAATTATGGTTGTGGAACAATCGATTATAAATCTTAAAAAACTTTAAATACAAATCATAATTAAGTTTATAGATAAAATGTATTAATCAGAATTATGATTAAAATTGTATTAATCAGAAACGTATATAAAAAATTATAAATATGAATTTGAAATAAAAAAATTAATAATAATATTTATTTTGAATTAAAATTTTTCTTTATAATTGATTTGTTAAATTTGGACTTAATACTTAAGATTTAGGAGAATTTAGTAACTAAAACAAAAACAATATTGAATGATACGAAGAAAAAATGTAAAGGAATATTTGATTATATCTCCATTCCACCTTAAATAATAATAATAATAATAATAATAATAATAATAATAATAATAATAATAATAATAATAATAATAATAATGTATATTTTTATTAAATAATTGAAGGAAAATGTTGGCATTAAAATTTGAAAAGGGTGTGGTGATGGTAATTATTATGAGAGTATTATAATAATATGATTAAAAAAAGAGAAAATGAAAAGGGAAAGATAAAAAAGAAAAAGAGGGGGGCAAGAAAGGGAAAGGTGCATGAAAAGGAACTCAATGGGTGTGACTTTAGTCCAAGTGAGTGTCTGTTACACACATGGGATTCCAGAATTTTGGTTGGATTAGTGAAATTTTTGTTAAACAATTCCCAATATACCTTTTACTTTCTCTTCCTTTCATTTCATTTCCCTTGTTTGCTCAGAAGAGAAAGAAGATGCAGCAGTGAAACCAAACAACACACAACAACACAACAGTGAACAACTCATAACACCCAACACACATCAAAATCAAATCATATGCTACCTCGAACTCCAAGGTTGTCTCTCAGCTAGGGTTTTCGTTCGCCACCAAATCCAACTCAACTCCACCGCCCTGCAAATGGTCCTCTTCGTCTTCGCCTCTTCGATTCCGAGATCGACCATTCCTGCCGCGATAATGCTAAACAATACTTATTCTTAGGCCTGTTCAACCACCAGCAAGTGCGAATCCTTTGCTCCGATCAAAATGCAATTTGCCAAGCTCGATGACTCTCCTATGTTCCGCAAACAGGTTATTCCTTTATTTTTTCTAGAACCTTTTTTTTCTTTCTTTTGATTTGTTGCAAGTTAGTTTTGATGTTGTGTGTAATGTATAGTGAGCTTTGTTTGTTTTTGAGCTTGATCGGGTGGTTTTAAAGGTTTATGGAGTGACCCGTTAGGGAATGAAGGCTTGATTTTGTGCATGTTTTGGTCTTGTCAAATGGAATGTGAATATTCTGAAGTCTGAATGGTCTCGGTGAGCTTTGTCTGTGCTTGGAATCCTGAGGATTCCTTTTTTTATTCTGGGAAATCCCTCAGAAGGGAACGAAGTGGTTCTCTTGAGGGATTCTCTGTTTTTTAGTAATGGTTTTGGGCCTGCTGTCTGCCGTCATAGATTTACTGCATGTGCTACTGCCAAGCGTATTGAGGGAAGTGAGTCTTTAGTTTACGGTTTGTTGCCCTCTGAGATTAGTCAGAGATGGGAGGATATTTTGCACTTGCACATTTGATCAGGCATCAAAGGTGGGATTTGGTAGAGCTTGGGTGAGCAGTGAGAGTGAGAGAAAGCAACAGCTGTATCAAGAGAGTCCTCGTGCTTTTCCACCTTTGCTACTCCCTCACTAATTGGGGTAAGAAGACTTGGTCATAAAGGGGGAAAAATGTCACTCCAAGAAAGCTTCCCCGTCTTCTACTGATATGGCAGACACACATACAAATTCATATATTTAACTCCGTGAAAAAAGTCAGCCCCCTTTCTACCTGCAGACCAAACTGATCCTTATGTTAATACTTTTATAGAGTGTTTAGGCATTGCTCTTTTTGGTTACTTCACGAACTTAACCATTAAGTCCCTTTTATATGTTAAATCATAGTGGTATTATTCTAAAGAGAAATCCGTTCTTCTCTATTATTGGTTGTAAATCTTATAATTATATTTTATTCTCTAATAAACCATTTGATCATCTTCTGAATATTCTGAAGTACAGTGTATTTCTTGTTGGTTGAAAGATATGATTATTGGAAAGCTTTGTAAAATTTGAAATTTAGTGGTTATTGAATGAGGTTATTGTTAATGGGGATGGAGATATTTATCCACTATTTGGCATAGTATGTGTGAAAATTTGTTGCTGAGTTGTATCACATCTGACAATGATGCTGGTCTTTTCAATTCTTCCCTTTGTTTCATATGATTCATTTAATACAGATTGATAGGTTCTCTCTTAAGTGACTTGATGTTCCTAAGATTGCTTCTCCTTGAATTCTTTGATGAGCAGATACAATGCATGGAGGAAAGTGCTGAATCTTTAAGAGAGAGAAGTTTAAAATTTTACAAAGGATGTAGAAAATACACGTATGTAATTTTTTGCTCACTTAACTTGATGTCTCTTATGCTCGTGGAAACATCTCTGCTGTACAAATTGCAGTTTATTTATGCTTTTATATGCCTTTATTTCTTAACCTTGATGTCTTTTTCTCTTTTAATTTCTTTTAGTTCTGTATTTGTTTAGCTCTTTCATCTGTTAATTTCTTGGTCAGTTTTTGTGATTTGTTTTCTTCATAACTAGATGAAATCAGCATAAAATATTTTCTTTTGGATAAAATTTTAGATTTGATAACCAGGGAAAATGTCCTTAACAAAGGCTCTGAGTAAATCACGACAAAAGCAATCAAGATAGTAGAACACCATAGTAGCATGAAAACAGTCATATATGATAGCAATTTTAAGGACAGGAGTATTTTTGTTTGTAGGAGCATTCCCTTTCAACCCAACAGCAGCATAAGTTGCATGACACCATAATTTTTAACATCTTATTTGTGCCAAACCTTTAATATAAAATACAGAAACTTCCTTGAAAGTGGCTATTGGCCAGTGTAAAAGAGAGTCGCATTTTTATTTCCAAGCTAGAGCCTATTGGCATTCAACTTATCCTTTCAACAACATTCTGTATTTTATTTATCTCAAGAACATTTATTTTCATTATGAAGGAGTAAATATGATGCACTTTTAAAAATAAAATTAATAGTTTTTCATTAGGTAGAAAGAGGAAACTGTTAGTTCTACTTACAATAGTATGTCCTCTATGGAGGATGTTCCTCATAGTAATTGTCCTGCAATGTCTGGCAATTTATCCAAAGGAAAACTTTAGTCTTTATTTTTTCTTATTAGTTGTTAGGAGTATCTCATAGCTTATAGTTACATATTGATTTTTAAGTTGTTAGGTTTGTCTTTTGTTTATAAACTTTAATTGCTTTCACTTTTGTACTTTCCAGTGAAGGTCTCGGGGAGGCATATGATGGAGACATTGCATTTGCCAGTGCCCTAGAAACTTTTGGTGGTGGACATAATGACCCAATCAGTGTGGCTTTTGGAGGTATGCCCCTCTTTACATCAATCTTATGATGGTTGACGAGAGTTTCTCTACTCCTCCTAGAATATTTTGTTTCCTTTTTTGGCACCCCAGATGAACTGTCAATAAAGGATGACTTTTAATGCTTGACTATGTTAACATTTCATTCTAATAATTTCAGTTCTTAAGTGAGATAATTTGTTTTCAGTTTTTCTCTTTAATGCAGTGGCCACTGACTGCTTGGGATTAGTTGACTTCATAATTTGATTTTAAGTCTGTACTTTATCTTCAACTCTAAAAGTTTATTGGCGATGAAATACTTTCTGATTGAGTTTCCACTTTCAATCCAGGCCCTGTTATGACCAAATTCACCATAGCCCTAAGAGAAATTGGGACATACAAGGAAGTCCTTCGGTCACAGGTAGCTATTGTGTTGTAACTTCTAAGTGTTTCTTAATACTTCCCTTGTTGTTAACGACTCCTAATGATGCATTTTAAAAGGGAGAAAATGTAAAACAGAGGATCTCTTAATTCAATCTGTGTTACTTTTTTTTTACCTTAATGAATCTATTCCTTTCCAAAGAGAAAGAAAAAGGAAAAAAAACTTATCAATAATGCATACAACTCAGAAGCCGAAAACCATTATGACCTTTTACAGTCAGCTTTTTGGGAGTCTCATCCTGGATATTTGTCCTTATCAATCAGTTCTTGGTGACATATTGTCTGTTATACTGCTAACATAGATTGCGATATTTCTGTCAGGTTGAGCATATGCTAAATGACAGATTGCTTCAGTTTGTCAATATTGATTTGCAAGAGGTCAAGGTACTCTTTTTTTACAAAGAATAAAACATTGAAATTTTTTATGTTTATCCTTTCAGTTAGATATGTACGAATCAGATGTGAGAACTGATAGACTTTTTAGTATGTAGACCTGTGCAGTAGTAATATGCATGTAATTGGTTTTCGTTTCTTTGGTTAGTTACTTAGATTTTTAGGAATGTTAAATTGAAATAATTAATTGTCTTATTTCCCTTAAAGCCCTACCAAGAAGCTGCCAAAAAAATCATTATTTCCTCAGAATGAGCTAATCCATACATACATGGATTGATGATTTGAGAAGGAATTCTTTTGATGCCCTTGTGGAAAGAGTAGTTTGTCAAATATTTGGGTCTTTCAACTAAACTTCAGGATCCTATGTAGGAGCTAAATTTGTCTTTCTACTCACAATTTTTATTATTATTTCCATTTTAAATGAGCTAATATTTGGGTTTCATTTTCCGTGTTTGAGATTTTGTGAGTGAGTATATGAAGTATTTTAAACTGTGACTTATATATGGTTTTTGTTTTGTTAATNGTGAAATTTTTGTTAAACAATTCCCAATATACCTTTTACTTTCTCTTCCTTTCATTTCATTTCCCTTGTTTGCTCAGAAGAGAAAGAAGATGCAGCAGTGAAACCAAACAACACACAACAACACAACAGTGAACAACTCATAACACCCAACACACATCAAAATCAAATCATATGCTACCTCGAACTCCAAGGTTGTCTCTCAGCTAGGGTTTTCGTTCGCCACCAAATCCAACTCAACTCCACCGCCCTGCAAATGGTCCTCTTCGTCTTCGCCTCTTCGATTCCGAGATCGACCATTCCTGCCGCGATAATGCTAAACAATACTTATTCTTAGGCCTGTTCAACCACCAGCAAGTGCGAATCCTTTGCTCCGATCAAAATGCAATTTGCCAAGCTCGATGACTCTCCTATGTTCCGCAAACAGGTTATTCCTTTATTTTTTCTAGAACCTTTTTTTTCTTTCTTTTGATTTGTTGCAAGTTAGTTTTGATGTTGTGTGTAATGTATAGTGAGCTTTGTTTGTTTTTGAGCTTGATCGGGTGGTTTTAAAGGTTTATGGAGTGACCCGTTAGGGAATGAAGGCTTGATTTTGTGCATGTTTTGGTCTTGTCAAATGGAATGTGAATATTCTGAAGTCTGAATGGTCTCGGTGAGCTTTGTCTGTGCTTGGAATCCTGAGGATTCCTTTTTTTATTCTGGGAAATCCCTCAGAAGGGAACGAAGTGGTTCTCTTGAGGGATTCTCTGTTTTTTAGTAATGGTTTTGGGCCTGCTGTCTGCCGTCATAGATTTACTGCATGTGCTACTGCCAAGCGTATTGAGGGAAGTGAGTCTTTAGTTTACGGTTTGTTGCCCTCTGAGATTAGTCAGAGATGGGAGGATATTTTGCACTTGCACATTTGATCAGGCATCAAAGGTGGGATTTGGTAGAGCTTGGGTGAGCAGTGAGAGTGAGAGAAAGCAACAGCTGTATCAAGAGAGTCCTCGTGCTTTTCCACCTTTGCTACTCCCTCACTAATTGGGGTAAGAAGACTTGGTCATAAAGGGGGAAAAATGTCACTCCAAGAAAGCTTCCCCGTCTTCTACTGATATGGCAGACACACATACAAATTCATATATTTAACTCCGTGAAAAAAGTCACCCCCCTTTCTACCTGCAGACCAAACTGATCCTTATGTTAATACTTTTATAGAGTGTTTAGGCATTGCTCTTTTTGGTTACTTCACGAACTTAACCATTAAGTCCCTTTTATATGTTAAATCATAGCGGTATTATTCTAAAGAGAAATCCGTTCTTCTCTATTATTGGTTGTAAATCTTATAATTATATTTTATTCTCTAATAAACCATTTGATCATCTTCTGAATATTCTGAAGTACAGTGTATTTCTTGTTGGTTGAACGATATGATTATTGGAAAGCTTTGTAAAATTTGAAATTTAGTGGTTATTGAATGAGGTTATTGTTAATGGGGATGGAGATATTTATCCACTATTTGGCATAGTATGTGTGACAATTTGTTGCTGGGTTGTATCACATCTGACAATGATGCTGGTCTTTTCAATTCTTCCCTTTGTTTCATATGATTCATTTAATACAGATTGATAGGTTCTCTCTTAAGTGACTTGATGTTCCTAAGATTGCTTCTCCTTGAATTCTTTGATGAGCAGATACAATGCATGGAGGAAAGTGCTGAATCTTTAAGAGAGAGAAGTTTAAAATTTTACAAAGGATGTAGAAAATACACGTATGTACTTTTTTGCTCACTTAACTTGATGTCTCTTATGCTCGTGGAAACATCTCTGCTGTACAAATTGCAGTTTATTTATGCTTTTATATGCCTTTATTTCTTAACCTTGATGTCTTTTTCTCTTTTAATTTCTTTTAGTTCTGTATTTGTTTAGCTCTTTCATCTGTTAATTTCTTGGTCAGTTTTTGTGATTTGTTTTCTTCATAACTAGATGAAATCAGCATAAAATATTTTCTTTTGGATAAAATTTTAGATTTGATAACCAGGGAAAATGTCCTTAACAAAGGCTCTGAGTAAATCACGACAAAAGCAATCAAGATAGTAGAACACCATAGTAGCATGAAAACAGTCATATATGATAGCAATTTTAAGGACAGGAGTATTTTTGTTTGTAGGAGCATTCCCTTTCAACCCAACAGCAGCATAAGTTGCATGACACCATAATTTTTAACATCTTATTTGTGCCAAACCTTTAATATAAAATACAGAAACTTCCTTGAGAGTGGCTATTGGCCAGTGTAAAAGTGAGTCGCATTTTTATTTCCAAGCTAGAGCCTATTGGCATTCAACTTATCCTTTCAACAACATTCTGTATTTTATTTATCTCAAGAACATTTATTTTCATTATGAAGGAGTAAATATGATGCACTTTTAAAAATAAAATTAATAGTTTTTCATTAGGTAGAAAGAGGAAACTGTTAGTTCTACTTACAATAGTATGTCCTCTATGGAGGATGTTCCTCATAGTAATTGTCCTGCAATGTCTGGCAATTTATCCAAAGGAAAACTTTAGTCTTTGTTTTTTCTTATTAGTTGTTAGGAGTATCTCATAGCTTATAGTTACATATTGATTTTTAAGTTGTTAGGTTTGTCTTTTGTTTATAAACTTTAATTGCTTTCACTTTTGTACTTTCCAGTGAAGGTCTCGGGGAGGCATATGATGGAGACATTGCATTTGCCAGTGCCCTAGAAACTTTTGGTGGTGGACATAATGACCCAATCAGTGTGGCTTTTGGAGGTATGCCCCTCTTTACATCAATCTTATGATGGTTGACGAGAGTTTCTCTACTCCTCCTAGAATATTTTGTTTCCTTTTTTGGCACCCCAGATGAACTGTCAATAAAGGATGACTTTTAATGCTTGACTATGTTAACATTTCATTCTAATAATTTCAGTTCTTAAGTGAGATAATTTGTTTTCAGTTTTTCTCTTTAATGCAGTGGCCACTGACTGCTTGGGATTAGTTGACTTCATAATTTGATTTTAAGTCTGTACTTTATCTTCAACTCTAAAAGTTTATTGGCGATGAAATACTTTCTGATTGAGTTTCCACTTTCAATCCAGGCCCTGTTATGACCAAATTCACCATAGCCCTAAGAGAAATTGGGACATACAAGGAAGTCCTTCGGTCACAGGTAGCTATTGTGTTGTAACTTCTAAGTGTTTCTTAATACTTCCCTTGTTGTTAACGACTCCTAATGATGCATTTTAAAAGGGAGAAAATGTAAAACAGAGGATCTCTTAATTCAATCTGTGTTACTTTTTTTTTACCTTAATGAATCTATTCCTTTCCAAAGAGAAAGAAAAAGGAAAAAAAACTTATCAATAATGCATACAACTCAGAAGCCGAAAACCATTATGACCTTTTACAGTCAGCTTTTTGGGAGTCTCATCCTGGATATTTGTCCTTATCAATCAGTTCTTGGTGACATATTGTCTGTTATACTGCTAACATAGATTGCGATATTTCTGTCAGGTTGAGCATATGCTAAATGACAGATTGCTTCAGTTTGTCAATATTGATTTGCAAGAGGTCAAGGTACTCTTTTTTTACAAAGAATAAAACATTGAAATTTTTTATGTTTATCCTTTCAGTTAGATATGTACGAATCAGATGTGAGAACTGATAGACTTTTTAGTATGTAGACCTGTGCAGTAGTAATATGCATGTAATTGGTTTTCGTTTCTTTGGTTAGTTACTTAGATTTTTAGGAATGTTAAATTGAAATAATTAATTGTCTTATTTCCCTTAAAGCCCTACCAAGAAGCTGCCAAAAAAATCATTATTTCCTCAGAATGAGCTAATCCATACATACATGGATTGATGATTTGAGAAGGAATTCTTTTGATGCCCTTGTGGAAAGAGTAGTTTGTCAAATATTTGGGTCTTTCAACTAAACTTCAGGATCCTATGTAGGAGCTAAATTTGTCTTTCTACTCACAATTTTTATTATTATTTCCATTTTAAATGAGCTAATATTTGGGTTTCATTTTCCGTGTTTGAGATTTTGTGAGTGAGTATATGAAGTATTTTAAACTGTGACTTATATATGGTTTTTGTTTTGTTAATATTGATTATAAATATCACCTAATAACAAGGATAGTTGATGTTACTTTTGTGAGCAATTTATACACTTAGTTTCTGCTCTAAGGGTTTCTCTCTTAATGCAGGAAGCACGGAAACGCTTTGACAAGGCTAGTCTTATCTATGACCAGGTGCATTCTCATTATCTAAGTTTTTTTTCTCTTATTTTCCCATGTGGTATATTACTCCTGTGTTGAAAAACATGGATGCTAAGCGAACTGCCTATGATAATAATTCATTCAAGTAGAAAGAAATCAGTGGAGATATAATGAATTTAACAAATTGAATTGACTATTAAGATGAACCAAAACTTCAGGTCTGCTCTTAAAAAGCAGAAGTGATTGAACTTCCTGGAAACTTGTTTTGAAACAAGCAGTGTTAGAGGCTGCAAATTTCT